ATCTGCTCCTTTAAAACCCCACGAGCGAATAGAGATGCTGAGTGTCTGGGTCCTGGGATACAGAGATGATTATACTCCCAGGAGCAAAAGTCTAGTGGGGGCCCACAAACCTATAAATAGATGAATTTCCGAGTAAAATCTAATGGTAATATAAAGGGCAGAATGTCAACAGCTGCAGGTGAGGCCAACTTTGGTGAGTAGATGACATTTGGGTTGGGTTTTGAAGATTGACCAGGAGTTATTCAGACAAAGAGGAAGGTGCGTTTCTGAATGGACAGATAACTGTGCAGAGGAATAGGGCCTTCAAAGGGCTTGGGAGATCCCAGCATCCTGAGGAGGCCAGGGTGCCCATGTGTGAGGGCAGCCGTGGATGGAGCTAGAAGGAAGCAGGGAATCCAGGTATGGTAACCCTTTAGAGTTTGAAGCCTTAGACAAAAGGGATCCAAAATGTATTTTCTATGTCAGGGAGTGGTTTGATTTATAAAAATACAAGTCTGGGTGGGCTAGAAAAGACCAATGGCAGGGAGGGGAGAAGGGAGAGGGACATATGTAATACTTTCAACAATAGAATATTAAAAATTTTAAAAATAAAGACAAGTCTGGGGAAGTATAAAAGAAAGGTCTGAGTGGAGAGGGTGTGGAGGCAGGGAACCAGCTGGAGGGTGTCACAGTTAAGTACTAAGGCAGTGGCAGTGATCGAGAGCTGAAGAGGAGACACCAGAATTCAGAGATGGTTAAGGAGGAATTGTAGGATTTGTGATTAAACATGAGCAGGGAAAGAAAGGAAAGTCAAGGGTGGCCTCAAAGCTACTGGCTTTGGAGTGGGGGGAAAGTTGCTCTGAGTGGAGAACACAGGAACAAAATGTAGGTGCTAGGAAAACGAAGTGTGGGCATCATGGTCATCAGGCGGATGAGGACTGAGGCTATCCAGAGAGAGCATGTGAGTGAGGAGTTCAGAAAGGAATGCTGGGGACATCATCACACAGGGCAATGATTCTTAACAAGGGAGGCAGCACAGAGGAAGGAAAGGGAGTTCCCCTGACTGTCTCGGGGCTGGTTCTGTTTGGCTGCTTTTGTTGAGCTGGGGACAAGGTGGGTTTTTGTGCAAGGGCATACTCTTTAGGAAAGGCAGGCTTGCAGAATTTTCCTTTTCCATCTGCCCAGTAACTATGTTTTCGCCTTTACTGTGGGGACAAGATGGCAGATGGTTCATTACTGCCATCCTAGCAAGGTGTTTCTGTCAAACCTTGATCAATTGTGCACGCAGGCCAGTGGCTTCAACACGCACAGTTAGAAGGAGATAAAACCAGCTATCTCTGTGTTTCTGAGTAGAGTGACATTCTTGAGGTCAGCCTACCTGGCATTCCTTCTGGCCATGTACTTGGCTTTCTGGTCACCTGGTGTTTTCTATTCCCTGCCCCATATTACTACACTGTCTCAGAATCACTACTCAATTTTTATTATCTAGATGCTCTCCTCTCCTACACTCCAATAAATAGACTCTGGATATTTTGCCTGTGTTGCCAAAAGGAACAGATGATTTTTGTCTTTACCTTACTAAACTTCAGCTAGCCATCTACTTGTTACTGAATGTCTATCCCTTTGGTATTATTTCCTCCTGTTCTCTGCTGGTCCTCTATTATTATTATTTTTTTAACAATTCCTTCTTAATCTTTCTGGCTTCTCTGCCTGAAACTTATACCTTGGTGTTTCTCATGGTTTGTTTGTGAATCATGACACCCATCATCATTTGTGAAATTTTAATCCTTTCTTAGGGTTTTAATAGCCATTTAATTTCTAAATACAGTTGTTTGTGTGGAAAAGCTTGCAATTTATCGATATGATGATTATAATAGCTTTAACTCAAAAGAATGTCACAACTATAAACCTACTTTGGCCCACAGGGTTTGGATCTGTATGTAGATCTTGAGACCTGCCCACCAATTGTTTGTTAGATGTCTCCCACAGATCTCTAAAAATCTGCTAAATGTAATAGACCATTCTTCACTCTTAACAGTGCAACACTTAAAAATCTTAAAGTACCTCACAAGTCAAATTCACCTCCCGCATATAATCAGTTGTTTTTTAACCTCATGTGTTCTCACATCTGTCCTCCATACTACCCCTTTCTTACAATGCTGTGCTTTAGGCCTTCTCATTGCTAGCCTGATTTACTGCAGTGGCTACATAAGTTGAATCTCTGCAGAAGCTCAATATTGCTTTCCTTAAACTCATCTTCCATACTGCTACCAGAATAAGCTATCAAAAATGTTAATTCTGCCTGACCACTGTGGCTCAGTGGTTGAGAGTCGACCTGTGAATCAGGAGGTCACGGTTTGATTCCTGGTCAAGGCACATGTCCAGGTTGCAGGCTTCATCCCCAGTGGGGGACATACAGGAGGCAGCCAATCAATGATTCTCTCTTATCATTGATGTTTCTATCCCTCTTTCCCTCTCCCTTCCTCTCTCTGAAATCAATATTATTTCTTTAAGAAATGTAGTTCTGCTATCAATAAAAATGGCAAAAGATCTCATAACATGTAAAAACACTCATGATACATTCTAAGCTAAAAAAAAAAAGGCAGACTCTAAAACAGTATATTCATAATAATCCCATATTTGGTTTTTAGGAATATACATATATATATTTCTATTTTAATAAATGAAATAAAGACCATCCATCTAAACAATAACAGGCGTTATCTTCCATTGATAGATCATGAGTGATTTTCTTACTTAGTTTTCTAAGCTTTCTGCAATGAACAAATATTCTTTTTGAAATCAGGAAATCCCACAAATCTAACAATTTCAATTTCTACGGTAAATGTTGAGCTAGCTCTCTGCTGGCAGAATTAAGTCCAAGAATGTTTTCACTGCAGACAAGGCCCTCCATGAGCTGGCCACCACTCCTCTCCAGCCTGATTTCCCCACAATGCAATGGTTCTCAAACATTAGGGTGCATCAGGATCAGTAGGCCCCACGCACAGAGTTTCTGATTCCAATGAAGTTTGAGATGAGGCCCAGGAATTTGCATTTCTAATAACTGATTCCAATACAGTTGGTCTGGGGACACATATTTTTTAAATTACTGTGATAAAATATACATAACAAAAAATATTTAACTATTTTTAAGTGTGTAACTCAATGGCATTAGCAATTTACAATGTTGTGCAATTATCACCATTATCACCTTTAGAACTTTTTCATCTTCCCAAATAAACTCTGCACCCATTAAACACTAACTTCTTCCCCTCTCCACCTAGCCCCCATCCCCTGGTTCACCTCTACTCTACCTTCTATGTCCCTGAATTTGCCTACTCTATATACCTCATACAAGTGGAATCATTTGTCAGCATCTGCTGGTGTCAGTGTTCCAGATTCTGGGTTAATAGGTGTGCAGTGGTATCTCACTGCTATGTTAATTTGCATTTCCCTTGTGACATATGACATGGAGCATTAATTTTTTTTTTTTTAACACTTTGTTACATGAAAAACAAACAAACTGGTTTTTCATGCTATGTTCCTGATGTCTGTCAAGGTCGTTTTCTGAGATTAGACAAACAATAAAGTGAGTCTATTAAAATTGAAAACAAAAGTATACACAAAAATATATGTAAGAACAAATGACAGAACAAATGATACAGTAAGTGTTTTATTTTGTCATCTGCCCTCAATGAGCAACTCCACCACAGACCATTGCTCAGTTGGTCCCATTTGTGCCTGTAACTTCCTCGCCTCCCTGAACTTTCACCTCAGCCTCCCTTACACCTGGCTCCTGATCTCCATTTCCTTCAGACCACCTCCAAGAAGCATTTCTTTCCTACACAACTAAGACCTGTGGAGCATCATTTCAGTTAATCTCACTCCTTAGTACTTCCGCCCGACCTGATTCATACTATTCCCAATTCTGGCTGAATCTAACTATTTTTACATATCTCAGAATTTTGAAGTTACAAGTGTTCAACTTCAGTTTGTGTTTGATTTCTGTTTGGCAAGTCTTACTAATTTTGGATATGCTCACTCTTTCTCCAATCTCCACTTTCTCAAGGTCCTTACTCCATTTCTCTCCCCATCCCTCACCACCTCTGGGTTAATGACCTTGCTTTCTACTTCACGGAGAAAACAACCATCAATCATGCACCAAAGCCAGAAAGCTGGGCACACTCTTGGACTCTTTTCTCTTTCTCAACACAATGTCCAATCAGTTACATTTTCAAATAATCTTAAAGTCTTTAGGGGAGAAAGGAATTAAAAATACATTATTAAGTATTTAAAAATTCTTCTATAGGAAAATAAAAACATTCATTACTAAAAAAAAGTTCTATATTAAATACATTAAAATATAAGTCATTTTATAAATAAAATCATTTTAAACATGATAAAATTTCTGATACAAGGTTACTTATACATAGTTCAATGACTTGACTTTGAAAATATAAAAACTATGTCCTTTTAAAAAAGGTTTAACTTCTTGTTACAAAATTATCAAAAGTTTAAAAGTGCTTCCATTTTGTTCCATTTTAAAAGCAATTGTAGCACAATATAAGACCTTAAAAAAAAAAAAGAAGGATGAGCTGGGGCATAAGTCTCATCCTGCTTGCCTAAAAATGAGAACTTCAGAGACTTTTGAGGCAGGAAAAGCCTGGGAGGCTGGCTGAGTTCAGTGCCAGCAGAGCGGCCATCGGCCGAGCCAATACTGTCCTTGTTTCCAGAACCGGGCAATGCCTCCTTTTGCCCCTTCCTATGAAGGACTCTTTCTGTGCCTACTGGTTCCTAACTCAGAAAAGTTCCCTGAAAGAATCTTGATATTTAAATCCTATGCCAATACTGAAACTCTTATAAAGACTGAGAAATTTTGCATTTGGATTTTATACAAAAAGACATGAATCTAATTCCAAATAAAAAATTAAAAAGAATAAAAAAGACACTTCATTTGGTCGCTTGATTTCGTATCTTGTCGAGGTAGGATAACTTTCTTCTTCTTCCAAAAATTGTCCTGACTACACAAACGGTGGCTGTACTGGGAAGGGTTCTAATGCCTTCTCCGCATTCTTCCAGTTGTGAAAATTTTCTTTGTACCACTCAACTGATAGGAAAAAAAGAGATAAAAATAAAAATTAAAAAACTAAACATCAGTTAACCAAAATATACTGAGTTCTGCTAAGTAAGAAAAGTCTTGCACAACAGCTATGAGCAGGCAAGGACTGCCTAATGACAATTTGATTTTGAACTGACATTTATCAGAAGACATTTCATCAATAAAAATTCAGATTTAAAAAATCAACTATTTTTTTTTCTTTTTAACTTCAAAAGTGCTTCAATTTTTAATTTGTTGGTGAAAGTGTTTAAGACATTCTGATTTTAAGAAATTCTGGGGGAAATTAGATAAATCATTTGCATTAGTTTTAAAGTTACAGAAAAGAAGTGTAGTATTTTAATTTATGTAAATGTAGAATACTACATTACAGGCATAGAGAAATGATGTGAGTTTCCTTCTGTTACTATGTGAAATTATTTTATGTTGCTATACTATCAGTAAAGCTTTCTAATTAAAAAAAAGATACATTATCTTTGAATTTGCTTTTTAAAATTTAACACAGGTGTTTTGTATTTTAAGCTCTGAATCAAGAATTTATGTTTGGATATATTTTTTCTCATTAGTACATTTCTAAATAGAACTTTAACATATATATATACAAACTTTATATATACCTATTTTAATAGATATTTCTATACATATTCAATTTGCTTCCTATTTGTTTGTTTCAATACAAAAAGACACAAGACACTTGCCCTAACTGGTTTGACTCAGTGGACAGAGCATCAGCCTGAGGACCTAAGAGTCCCAGGTTCGATTCCAGTCAAGGGCACATGCTCAGGTTGTGGGTTCATTCCCCAATAGGGGGTATGCAAGAGACAGCCGATCAATGATTCTATCTCATCACTGATGTTTCTATCTCTCTCTCTCCCTCTCCATTCCTCTCTGAAATCAATAAAAACATATTTATAAAAATAAAAAAGACTCAAGACATTTGAAGACTGTATCTATATTTCATCAAATCTAAGATGATACTTAAGATGTAGCGTTATTTTACATGCCACTGAGAAAGAAAAATGTTGCAATGATAATTTTAAGATGCTAGTGATTATAAAAACACATATCTTTCAAGGTTATGAAAAAAAAGTAAAAAATTGTGTACCTGAGAAACAATGAAATAAGTAGCTGATAAATGCTAAAAAGATATAGGAAGACTGATCAGAAGTCAGTCTATGAAATTCAAGATGCTTAGGAAATACAGTACTATTGCTAGAAATATATTAACAATTTGAAAAGTAAAAATGATTCATCGCAATATTCTACTCAATTTGTAGTGTTCTAAAAATAAACCATTTTTTTCTTTAAATTTTTCTTAACCTTCATCCCTCAAATGACCAATTGATAACATACTTGTTTTCTTTATTCCTTCTTTCCAAGGCACTTTAGGTCTCCATCCTAAGCCATGTATTTTTTCTGATTTCATTGGATATCTCATGTCATTGATCGGTCTTGGAAAACAAAACAGATTTAAAATGACACTATGGAAATATATTTACAAATCTAAATACCAAGAGAATTAATGGGTGTCCATGCATCTTCATCATAATTCAAATTTTTTTCTTAAAAAAATTCTCCCTAGTGACATGACCATAGAAAATTTATAAAATAAAGAGTATTATTTTTAAACTCATCTATAATCCCAGATACCTAACACTCACTGTGGCTTATCTTCTCATTTCAACACAATCTAAGTATGCATGCAGTGGATCATACTTAAATGTTTGATGAATAAATAAATGCATATAAACTTATTAGGACTTTTGTGTTCCATATCCTGAGTTGGGTACTTTATATTATAATTGAAGCTAAAAATACTTTTAAAAAAACAAGATAAGCCCCAACTGGTTTGGCTCAGAGGATAGAGGATTATTCTGTGGACTGAAGGGTCCTAGGTTCGATTCTGATCAAGGGCACATGCCTGGGTTGCAGGTTCAATCCCCAGCAGGGGGCATGCAGGAGACAGCCAATCAATGATTCTCTCTCATCATTGATGTTTCTATCTCCCTCTCCCTTCCTTTCTGAAATCAATAAAAACATTTTTTTAGCTGAAACCAGTTTGGCTCAGTGGATAGAGCGTCGGCCTGTGGATTGAAAGGTCCCAGGTTCGATTCCGGTCAAGGGCATTTACCTTGGTTGCGGGTACATCCCCAGTAGGGGGTGTTCAAGAGGCAGCTGATCGATGATTCTCTCTCATAGATGTTTCAGTTACTCTATCCCTCTCTCTTCCTCTCTATAAAAAAACAATAAAATATATAAAAAACAAACAAACAAAAAACAAACATTTTTTTAAAAAAGCAAGACAATATTTTCTCTATTTACACTCAAGGAAACCTCAGTCTTGGAAAAAGTCAGTAACTTTCTTTAAATCACACAGTTAACAATAATGCTACACTTTATTCTTATGACATTTATAATTAGAAAAAAAATATTTTGGTAGAAAATTCAAAATGGACAAACTAGTTTCTTGTTAATTCCATATATTTCATAATTTTATGAGTACCTAAGATGCCAAATCTTACCCCAACATTTTAACTTGTTACTCACCTATCATTAACATAATCAACCCAGTTTTCCATTTCAGACTCTGAATTGGTCTCTTTGATCTGTCAAAATGGAAAGGGCTTTTAAGTCAAATTATAAAATGAAACCAGAGAATAACAATGGTTTTCAACAGAGGATTCAAAAAATAAGGAAAACAACTTCCTCAAAGCAGGAGAGACAACTAAAATGAACAGCATTTTAGTAACTTTCTAACCCATACTCTACCTGAAGCTCAGGAAGGATACATATTGTATACTATGGCAGAAAATAAAAAATTTTGGCTTTTGGTTATTACTCATTATGATATTGTGATTTATAAAAAGAAATATATGTTTTGTACTCGACCCTGTTCCTGTCCTGGAGCTCCTGAAACCCTTAGAATTTCCTAAATGATGAGATAAAGGTGTCTTTTGCTATTTATAATAAACCCCTCTCAATTGCACCAGCGTTCATGTTAGTAACTGATCTTGGAGAAGCCCCTAAGGATGGGGGCTGGCTGCCAGGAGAACCAACCAGGTGATTAGAGGGATAGACCTCAGCCCCCGCTCCCCATATATCTGGGAGAGGAAGGGGAAGAAGTGCTTGAGGTTGTATTAATCACCAATGGCCAACGTGTTAATCAATCATGTCTACTTAATGAAGCCTCCATTAAAAAAAGAAAAAAGAAAAAAAAAAGACAAGGTCTAACGAAACCAGTTTGGCTCAGTGGATAGAGCGTCAGCCTGCGGACTGAAGGGTCCCGGGTTCCATTCCGGTCAAGGGCATGTACCTTGGTTGTGAGCACATCCCCAGTAGGGAATGTGCAAGAGGCAGCTGATTGATGATTCTCTCTCATCGATGTTTCTCTCTATCCCTCTCTCTTCCTCTCTGTAAAAAAAGTCAATAAAATACATTAAAAAAAAAAAAAAAAAAAAAAAAAAAAGACAAGGTTTGGAGAGTTTCTAGTCTGCTAAACACAGGGAGGTGCTAGGAGAGGGCATGCCCAGAGAGTGCATGGATACTCCACGCCCCTTCCCTCACACCTTGCCCTATGTGTCTCCTCCACTGGCTGTTCCTGAGTTACAGCCTGTGTAAAAGACCAGTGATCTAGAAAGGAAACTGCTTCCCGAGTTCTGTGAGCCGTTCTAGCAAATTACCTCCAACTTATAGCTAGTTGGTCAGAAGCAAGGTGATAGCCAAGTCTCACAAATGGCATCTGCCCTGCGGGATCTGACACTATCTCCAGATCGGTAGCAATAGAATTGAGTTAAACTCTGTGAAGAACACCCCGACCGTAATGACAATTGTTTGGTGGGAGAAACCCACACGTAAGGAGTACAGAGAATTCTGAGAATAGCGCAGAGGAAAACAAGTTTTGCAATACACTCAGTCCTACTTTCTACTGAATTCTGAGATTTATCACTGATGTTCACAAATACATACAAATACTCATAATCATAATTATTTACATATCAGTGTTCCTAAGACTTACAGCTTTATGTCTCTAAAATTGAGGTATATCTTTTATTGGGCAGGTACATTTAATATATTAGGATTTTCCTCCCTGAAAAACTATTACTAAGTGAGTAATATAATTTCAAATGATATATCTTAGTGTATGGATAGTATAATTAGTAATTATCAACCTTTTACATCTGATGGCACATAAATTAATTACTAAAATCTATTGCACACCAAAAAATATATTTCTTGCTGATCTGACAAAAAAATAGATATTATTTTTATTCATTCACACTAGATGGCCATTGTTGTGTTGGCTGTTATCTTGTTTTTTGTGGGTTTGTTTGGGTTTTTCTTGACACTTAATGTTCTGAAAAGAGGTTAGTGCCCCTGACTAAATAATTAGGTATTATTATATGTTTTAAAAATTATTGCAGCACTCTGGACAAAAATTGCTGGTATAATTATAAAATTTATTTATTATTTATTAACCTTTCAATTGAATAAACTGTAATTTGTTGTTTTTTGACTAAATTAGTCATTGTATCACTAAATTTTGAAAACACTACTCTTTCACAATATATACGTACCAGTTGTATTAGTTCTTTGGCAAGCTGGAGAACTGACATTTCAAAATTGGTTCCAATGTTATAAATTTCACCTGGTTTCCCCTTTTTGAGGACAGTGAGGAATGCTTCTACTACATCAGTAGCATAAAGAAAATTTCTTGTTTGGAGCCCTGATCCATGAATGCAGCTAAAATTAAATAAAAGGAAATCATAAAGTTTTAAAAAGTAAGCCATCCGAGCCAGAGTAAGGCAACAATTGGGCACAATTCCAGAAAAGCCGATTCCCAAAGCAATCTTAGAACTCTTACTGAAAACACAAAATTTCACAACTTTTCTAAATTTTATCCATAGTTCTTAAATGATCTTCAAACTTCCTGAGGGTACTCAGTAGGAAAGTGGCAAATATATGTGACCTTCTGAGAAATATTTATTCATCAATTGTATATATAAAATTATTTTGAAGAACTATCTACAGTTTAATGAATTAAATAAATCCTTTCATAAAGTAAAATTATATAAGGATGGATGTCAAATTTTATGCAATAACTGAAAGTCCAGGATAAATCATTTAAGAACTAAATTTTTTCCCTTCTGTCACCATTTATCCCCCTCCCCTCTTTTTACCTCCCCACAGCTCCCTTTCCCTCTAGTAATAACCATATTGTTGTGTGTCTATGAGTTCTATTTTTTTGTATTTTGCTAAGTCTCTTCACTTAAAAACTAAAATGATTTTAGTAAATAAATTATAAAGATGAATTATAAATTATAGTTATTTTTTTAAAAAAAAACTATTGACTAGATTTAGAAGAAATCACACAACATTTCAGAAAAACATATGGGTACAAAGGTAAATAATAACATACCATTTCCTGTTGTGTTGTAGTAAAGAAATAAATTTTGGAATAACCTAAAAGAATATTTAAATATCACTTTAGACTTTGGAAATTTACTCATTAATATGAATCTAAGCTCATTATAAGATTAAAACATTATTACTGTTAAGAAATATACATACATCAGAGTTCAAGAAAAACCTATTACAATTTCGGTAAGTAAAAGAGCTCTAAGACAGCTTCCTATTTCACAAAAACAAGTTATCTCTTAGAAAAATATGAAAATAAGGTAACACTATAACGTGGAACTTTTCAGAAAGTCTTCATGAATAATTTGCTTTTTCATCACAAAACTCACTACTCTGTTGACTGTATAAGATACTCTAAAACTTAAGCAAAGCAGATATTAATACCAGCAGATCATGATAAGGGCCCTTTCCTTTGGACAAATGGATTAATGCAACCAGCTGCGAAGTGAAAATCTCACTCTAAATTTAAGTCTTGACCTTACATTCATTAGCTGGGAGGGAGCATAGTTGCTTAAAAGTGGGCTTAATGATACAGAACCAGTCACACAGGCATTAACAATGTTTGACTACATTTCTTTCTTTTTTTTTTTTTTAAATATATTTTATTGATTTTTTACAGAGAGGAAGTGAGAGGGATAGAGAGTTAGAAACATCGATCAGATGCCTCCTGCACACCCCCATTGGGGATGTGCCTGCAACCAAGGTACATGCCCTTGAACGGAATCGAACCTGGGACCTTTGAGTCCGCAGGCTGACGCTCTATCCACTGAGCCAAACCGGTTTTGGCTACATTTCTTTTTTAAAATCAACTTGTTCCACTTAGTTATACATTCATTGGTTGACTGCTGTATGTGTCCTGACTGGGGATTGAACCTGCAACCCCTAATGTATCAGGATGATGCGCTAACCAATTTAGCTACCCAGCTAGGGTCAAATACATTTCCTTTTATATATATATTTTTTTCTTTACTGATTTCAGAGAGAAAGGAAGAGCGAGAGAAACATCAATGATGAGAGAGAATTGGCTACCTCCTACATGTGTCCTACTGGGGATCAAACCCACAACTGGATATGTGTCCTGTCTGAGATTTAAACCTTGATCTCCTGGTTCATAGATCAACGCTCAGCCATTGAGCCACACCAGCAGGGTCTGAACACATTTCTTTATTCACTACTTGTACTACTTTCTGGAAGACATTCAGGCCTGCAATAATAAATAGGAGTTGGAGAACAGTTAACCAGACTATTAACTGTTATGTCAACAAGATAAATTTATTTTTCCCCTTTTGTTTATTTTTTATCCAGTCTCTTCGCTCCCTCCAGCCCTTATCTCAGTTCACTCCAATTATTACTCTAAATGAAGACAGGGACTAAACCTTAGTTGTCCTATCCCCCAGCCGTCCTCAGGGGCCACACACTGCACTCTCTAGAAGTGCTGTAGAGAGAACTGAGTCAAAAGACAAAGACACTAATGTGACCTATCTGGGGATTTCATACGGTAGCAGGAAAAAAACAACGTTCTCCAAAGACTTTAAGTGCACAGTCTCTCCGGGGCACATTTAAGTACAGAGAGGTTACCTAAAACTTGAATAAGACATTTTAGGATCAAACAGATTTGCCAAAGCCCTACCACCTACAAAGTACTCCCTCTTGCCTTTACTGAGCAAACATCACTGTACAACACCATCTGTCTCTCTAAATCTCCCTGACTCTGGAGTCCTGCTTTCAAAAATGCACTGTGAAGTCAGTATTTCCAGTTCAGGATTCTTGGGATGAGCATGGCTGATTTCGTACGATGTCTCTGCCCACTTGGAAATGCTTTTATTCCACGTTAAAATCCCATCACTGTGGAGTCTCAGATAAAATTTCTGTACCAGCTTCCCACATTCCTACATAGCCGACGTACTGGTCTTACTGCAAACCAGGAGTCTAAACTGCAGCGTGGTAGCAGTGCTTGGGAATCCTGCAAAGTGCAAGGCATTTTCATGTGTATCATCTCACTGGACTCCTCAAAATCCTTTCTAATGTTATCCTTACTCCTCATTCGAAGGATGATGCTCAAAGGGCCCGAGGTCATGTCAGCTGATGAATGTAAGGTCAAGATTAAGCTTAAGTCTTGCAACTCTAAACCAGAGATCTGCATGTGGCCTATATCGTAGCTATAAATTACATATAATTACAACATAAATGTTGACTAACTGAAGAGAGATTATTACAAGTTACAATCACTAAAACATTCTGAATTTAGAAATACAATGTACCTTTTCTGGATATTGATGTGGTCCATAAACATTACTGCTTCTTGTGATGACAACTGGAAACTTAAAGAGTATTTGACAGTAAGATAATGGAAAGGTCCAAAATAATGATTATCTTAAAGTTAAGCAGTTTTAAAATATGGCACTTTTGGCTAAATAATTCCACACACCTTAAAGACAGAGCGAAGGGATTTTTTTTTTTTTTCCCTAATGTAAGACTCCTGAAAAAACAGGAGAGGATGGGATTCAGATAAAGGCGGAGGTTTAAAGAGGAATTTTTTCTTTATTGGGACAAGGGGAGGACAAGTATAGATGAAGGCAGATTTGTAAGTTTGATAGAAGAACACTAAGAAAATTTCCACCTGATTATTTCAGAGACCATCTCTAGGACTCTAGGTTTGGTTAGATGTTATACTTCAAATTGGCTTTCTCTCTTGTACCAACGCTTACAAATAAAAAACCTACCAAGAGAAAGAAAAGGACCAATGCTACTGGAACACAAAAGGCAAGAGGACCTTAAGTTGTTCCTGGGCTTGCCTTTCTGACCCAAGCCCTAATTACTCCCAAAGATCAGTTGGAAGCTAAATGTAGGGGATTCAAGCGGATAATTCATACGGGTAAGGCGCCCCACTGACACTGTCAGAACCATCCGGGAACTCTGCCTCCTATTCACGAGAAGCTACGAGAGGTGAATTGAGTAGAGAGGAGCACAGAAGCGGTCCTGGAACTTGCCCTCCCTCTGTCTTCCTTCACTCCCAGGATTCCTGGGAGCAGGGCTTTTCACTTTATTTATTTATTTTTAAAAATATAAATATATTTTATTGATTTTTTACAGAGAAGAAGGGAGAGAGATAGAGAGCTAGAAACATCAATGAGAGAGAAACATCGATTAGCTGCCTTCTGCACAACCCCCACTGGGGATGTGCCTGCAACCAAGGTACATGCCCTTGACCGAAATCGAACCTGGGACCTTTCAGCCCGCAGGCTGATGCTCTATCCACTGAGCCAAACCGGTTTCGGTAGGGCTTTTCACTTTAGCTGTAACATTCTACCTATTACTGAAGTAAGAAAAAAAACACACATACAAATCTTTCCTTTAAAAGATGAACTAAACAAGAAGAAAGAAGTAGGTCCTGCTTTGTCTACATGCTATAGAAAATCACGTTTTTTTTTAAATTCCTTAATATGTAACTTTTCTCAATACGTATCTTCTACTCTAGAAATGAAATATTGCTAATGCTAACTTGACATTTTAACACCTAAGTCCAAAGAAAAATGATTCAAGAGTTTTAAATTAAAATAAGTTCTTACTTTGTACTGTTCCCAGTAAGACTGTACAAAACACTCAGCCTCTGCCTTAGATGATGCATATGGATTTGTTGGTTGTTTGGGTGAAGATTCATCAAATTCCTAATTTAAAAAAGATAAATTTCTTTTAAAAGGTACTATGTATACTTTCTAAGTAGAGAAATCAGAAAATATATTACAAACTTGAAATGTTAATCATGGCATTAAAAAAGACATTAATGAACCCCAACTATGTGCAAAGCATTTCTCTATGCACTTTAATGCAGTAACCTATTTATAGTTTACAACAGTCTAATGAGGCAAGAGGCAGAACAGCAAGTACAAAGCCCTGAGATAGAAGCGTGTTCAAGGGAACTGCAAGGAGCTTCATGAGAGGGGAGAGAAATGGGAAAAAGAGCTAGAGGGAGGCCAGACTATGTGGAACCTTGAAGGCCAACATTAACTGACCTTGAGCAGAGTAATGTTATGATCTTACATTTAAAAAATTATCTGGCTACTGTGTCACCTCAGCTGTAAGATGACAAAGTACAAGAAGGAAGAAGTTCAGCTTATAAAAATAATGCAAGGAGAAATGAAAATGGTTGCTTCTCAGAGGTGGGATTGTGGATTGAAAAGTTGTCAAGGTCTGCTTTTTCTTATTTTAAGTTTTTCCAAACTTCATGATTTTTTTCACTACGCATGTGTTTTGGTAAAAACAAAACAAAACAAAGCAAAATGAGGTCATGAATGATTATGAAAAATATAGACTGGAAAATGGAGTCGTTTTTTGCATTAAAATTATGAATTTACAAATTATTAAAAAAGAGAGAGCAAATTCCATTTTCTACAATAATTTTGCACTTACTCCCTGACATCCCAGGGTGCTTTCCTGTGCAAACAGACAGCATGCTGCAGCCGAATTTGCACAATGGCTGATGCAAATCACATTCATCATGCATGTACGACTGGACAAAAAGATGCAACCTGCTGTCTGTTCTCTTGTAAAATATCGTCAGTCGTATTACATTTAAATCTCTTCTGCGAGTATTGTTGTTGCCATTGGAGTGGCATTATTTGATCTGAACAGAGGCACAATGGAATGACAACTGACAGTCCCACAAGTGATGTATAATCAGAGGATGAAAAAAGCCCAGAGAAGGTCTTAATATTTAGGGTTTGTTGCAAGATCCATGGTAAGTAGATGAAACATATATTTTCTAAGCTTACCTTATCAAGACTCCCTCCATATACTTCATCTGTGCTGACGTAAATAAATTTCTCCACTCTGGCTTCATGAGCGGCACTTACCAAGACGTGAGTGCCGTAAACATTAACATATGTAAACTCAAAGGCACGTACAAATGAAAGGTCTAAAGAAAAGAGAGAAAGCTAGAACAATTCCATTCGAGGGATAAAACAAATACTAAATGGTAGACTTAGGTTTAAGGAAAACTCTATTCACTTCTCTTCGTTCACTACAAATGCAATAGTTTTAAGAATAACATAAAACACATGGCTATTATGATTTCTTTAAGCCTAAATTACATCGTATGTGTACATTCTTAGAGCCTAGAAAACCACCAGTGCAAAATTTGTAGGAAACACTTTTAATTCCATAAGAAAAAAAAAATGATACATTTAAATTTAAAATATTTTTAAATTTAAAAGTTTTTTGAAATTTCATGCTGAAGCTAGAGGGCTGGGCTTTTCAGTTAAACATGTTATCACTGAAAACAACCTTTGGACAAATTATTTTATAATACATAAACCAGAGGCCCGGTGCATGAAATTTGTGCACTCGGAGAGAGGGGGCTCTCAACCTGGAATACAAGAGGGCGGATTTTGAGAGGGCACAGGCTAGGCCGAGGGACCCTAAATGGTGCATGATTGGGGCCAGGGAAGAATGTGGGAGGGACCACGGGACAGCTCCCGTGGGGAGGGACCACAGGAGGGCTCCAGGGTGTGTCTGGCCCATCTCGCTCAGTCCAGATCAGCGGGACCCTAGCAGCAAGCTAATCTACCAGTCGAAGCATCTGACCCCTGGTGGTCAATGCACATCATTGCAAGCGGTGGAGCAGCCTTAACCTATCATTAGCATATTACATTTTGATTGGCTGAATGGCCAACCTGACGATCGGACACTTAGCATATTAGGCTTTTATCATATTAGATTCACTTCTAAAGAATCAATTCTCTATAATCTGGGAATGAGGGGAGCTTTCCTAACTATGGCTCACAATACAGAAGCAAAAGAAAAGAAACTGATAAATTTGACTACGTAAAAATTCTTGCATGGTTAAAAAAAACAACAACAGAAAAATCTACAAATTAAAAAGACAAATGTCAAACTGGGAAAATATTTAAACTTATCAGAAATAAAGGGTTAATATACTCAATCTATAAAGAAGTTATAAAAAAAAATAACAACCCTAGGTAAAATAGGGAAGAGACATAAATAGATAGGACAATAAATACAAAGGTCCTGAAGCTTAATATGCTCAACCTAATTATAAGAAAAATACAAATTAAAAATTCATAGAGCCTGGCCAGTGTGGCTCAGCTGGCTGAGCACCGTCCTTCCTGTGCAATGAAAGGTCGCCAGTTCAATTCCCGGTGAGGGCACAGACCCAGGTTTCGGGTTTGCTCCCCAGTCAGGGTGTGTGCTAGAGGCAGCTAGTTGATGTTTCTATCTTATATCGATATTTCTTTCTCTCTCTTTAAAAAATCAATGCAAATATATATTTTTATTTTTATTTTTAAATACAGTTTAAATGTTCATCTCCTCAGAAGTAATCCCTATGCTGACTTTGGTTAAACTTGTATTTTTAAGGTAATATTCAAGGTTACATTTCTATCTACAATAAAAAAAAGTGACTTGAAAAGCACCAATTACCTGGATAACATAGTGACTCCTGGTTTGTTTTTCTAGAAAAGCATGTCTTTATGCTTGCTCAAAGACACATACTAAATACCTACACGCACAGCCCCATTACTGGACTTTGATTTAGGCTAAACAGCCACTGGAATAGATAATTTGCCCCTCATAAATGTAATATAAAATAATGCTTACCTACATGCGTTTGTGCAGCAAAATGTAGTACTATATCTATTTTCTCTGTTTCAAAAAGCAGCTTCACAAAGTGAGAATCACATATGTCACCCTATATAAAAGCAAACATGAAAAAACTAAGTTTCATTTAGCATTCTCATTTGTAAAAACCATTTTACTATATGAACAACAACAACAAAAAGATAAGAGAATCCATTCTCCCCTCCCCAATTTAATAGAGAACAGCTTAAAATTAAACTGAGGGGTCAAGTAAGTACAGTAATGAATGATGTATTTTTCCCCCCAGCATCCTAGGATATAAAATATTCAATTCAAAACTATTTTTGCAAATAAATGTCTAAAATAATATTTTATTGAGTACCAACTACTACTGAGGGCTGTACTAGGTTTTTTCCATAACATTCTTGCCAACCTAAGGTTGCTATGTTAACAGGACAAATTTTAAACATATTTTCAAAAGTTCGAGATAACAATTATTGAAATATATTTAAAGTAATTATTACAATTGGAATGACATTTTGAAAAATGTATCTTATCACAACTAAGTAAACGTAAGAGTACTTCTGATGTGTAGTTAGTTCTAAAAATATGTATTCTTGCACTACCTGGTTTGGCTCAATAGATAAGCATGGGCCTGTGGACTGAAGGGTCTGGAGTTCGATTCCAGTCAAGGGCACATGCCCATGTTGTAGGCTGGATCTCATCATTGATGTTTCTATCTCTCTCTTCCCCTCCCTTTCTCTCTGAAATCAATCCTACATAGTAAAGGGCTAATATGCAAATCAACTGAACAGCAGAACAACTGGTTGCTATGACATGCACTGACCACCAGGGGGCAGATGCTCATTGTAGGAGTTGCCCCTCTGGTGGTCAGTGAGCTCTCATAGGGGGAGCGCCACTCAGCCAGAGACCAGGCTCATGGCTGAAGAGTGCAGCAGTGGGGGTGGGAGCCTCTCCCACCCTGCAGTAGCACTAAGGATGTCCAACGGACAGCTTAGGCCCAGTTGGACATCCTACAAGGGCTTCCAGACTGCAAGAGGGGGCCGGGCTGAGGGACCCCTCTGCCACAGAGCGCATGAATTTCATGCACTGGGCCTCTGGTAAAAATAATAAAATAAAATAAAATATGTATTCTCAATAATTCTTTGGTGACTAAAGAAAAGACTTTCATACAGAAGAACAGAATAATGAAATGTGGTTAAAAATAGAGTTTTTAGAATCACAAAAAAAAAAAAAAAAAAAAAAAAAAATCCTACATAAACCATAGGATAAAGAGTGGCATTTGACATTAAAATTTGCCTTTGCAAATTAATGACCTGGCTCTATGGTTTATACTTTGGACTCCTTTAAAAAACAGCTAGTAAGAATCAACCAACTTTCATGGGAGAAGACTATCCAACTGGCTCTATGGTGAGCTTTTTGGCTATTGGCTGGCTAAAGTCTAATAACACCCCATGTTATATCAATCTTCTTAAATCCCAGCAAAGCCTTATTAAGAAAGATAGTAAGGACCTAAAAGTCACAAACCATATAAGTTAAATCAGCTACTCACAGATGTGCCCAAGTACCAAAAATCACATGTAACTTTATATATGGTGTCAGTCTAAAAGTAGCATTCTCTATAGCATGTGGTATTTCTGGAAACTAAAAGGTCTTTAATTAGCATGCTTTCTAAGCCCATATTATACAAGTTTGTGAAGAAGAAAGATATAATGTTTGAACAGGTAAATCTATAATAATAGGCAATATATAATAATTATATAATTATAAGAAACTTTCATACCTGAATAAATTTGTAGTTTTGTTTCTTAGAAATGGTTTCAAGATTCTTCAAACTTGCACAGTAATCCAGCTTATAATAAATAAGAGGAAAGAAGGGTAGAGAAACAATACAAAAAGTGATAATAGCTTTTCCTATAAAATATCAATTTATTTTAAAGACTATAGATGTTTTGACTGTAATACAAGAACATATCTCCTTACAGTTTTTACTTTTTGTATTTTTTAAGTATCTAATTTCTTAAAAGTAAAAAAACAAAAACGTAATTTTGTTATCATTTCAAACACACATACAAAACACACACTTGTTATAAACCTCTCCTTTTAAAAATTTTCCTGCCCAGATTTGCCTCCAGCCCCTGATGGCTAGAAAAGTTTCTCATTCCTTACTGAAAAGGAATTAGTGATTGAGAACAATTACACCTGTGCTACACATATTATAGCTCATTACACTTTTTCTGAGTTAACTGCTGGTAAATTGGTATAGAGATGGGGGGAAAATTACTATGAAAGGCAGGTAAAAATTCCTGGTTTGTTCTTTGACTATGTATTTTTCCTATTACATTTTGTGAAATGAAGGTAACTAACTGCATCTTGTGTTTAAAGTAAAAAATTCAATAATCATGGTATCTCCTCTGCCCAGCTGGTGTGACTCAGTGGTTGAGTGTCGACCTATGAAACGGGTGATCAGGGCTCGGTTCCGGGTGGGGCAGACAGGATGCTGACAATCAGTGATTGTTTTTCATCACTGACGTTTCTATCTCTCTCCGCCCCCTCCTCTGAAATCAATTTTTTAAAAATTAGTGATTACTAATCATGATTTTCAGATTATCTAGGGAGAGTCCAACTATTATATAATATTCTCAAAATTAATCACATTTTAATTTTAAAAGTAAATATATAGTTTTCCATGAGATAACAGTTATAAAATCAAATTATACAATCAAATAATCAGAATATTCCAATTAAAAAAAGATTAATAATCACAAGATTACACTAAATATTGAGTTTAGGGTGAAGATTTTTTGAGGGGTAAAAATACTGCTTTGAAAACCTTTACTTTATAGGGTATCATAATACATGAGAAAGTTTCAAAGGACTTTATTACTAAAATTAAATATAGCATGAACACATAATACAGGCCCCTAAGTTACTAAAATGATTTTAAAAAATGAAATTATTAGCATGACAAAATTCTAATACTTTTAAAAAATATATAAATAAATTTCAGCGCATGAACGCATTTTTATAAAACTCACCTTGTCTAGATTTACGATCATATAGTTTGGATAATCTTCCACTAAAGACACAATCACATGTGATGCACTGTAAGAAAAAAGTATATGCTATTAGCAGAAAATTTCACCTTTCCATAAATTCTTTAATGTTATTCTAAGCTATCAGGTATTAGGTAATGAATGAAAGATACCTTTAAATTTTTACAAGAAATATAACTACACTGAATATACACCCATCCACTCTTTTCACTTACCTTGTCAATAGTATCAACATATAAAGCCTTACATTACCTTTATGCTATGGAGACAATTCACTGGTCCTAAGAAAAAATTAGTTTAACTAGTGATCTGTCCACGCATACTTTGAGTAGGGGAGTAAAGCAGGATGATAAATGGTTGGTGGTCAGTGCAAATGGTCTATAATGAGTCTTTTCAGAGACTGTAGGTATAATTATGTAAAAATTGAGTTAGTGTGAGCATAGGAGCTGTCTATGCTCAATGTAATTCTACTGCAATTGCCATCTCTTAGCACAAGAATGTGATGGTCTAAATCAGGGGGTCCTAGACTAAACCTCGGTTTCCAAGGCTAGCTGAAACCATCTGAGTTAGATATCCACAGTGGCTCCTGGGTTTCAGAGGACCCTGAAGTGGAACCAGAGGCACATCTCAGTGAGATGATCCTCCAGATTTTATCATATGCACCAAACACGGACGGGAACAAGGGCGGCCCCTGCCTTAAATGTTGCATTCAGTTTGTACTTAACAGCCCTTTCACAGCATTTTCTAGAAATACCCTTCCTGGACCAGCACTCTCACACCAGTACCATCCTTTCATGCCCACCACGCTCCTGTTCTCATTAAGGAAACCCTGCCTGCGGGTACCCTTCTCCAAGCCACTTTCAGATCAGAAGAGGAGACTGAATGTGCTAATGGGCTTGGGGGAGAGAGTCCCAAGTTCCTTTTTTCCCACTAGGCATTTGGAGTGTTTAAGTTTGTACTGATGCACTCATCCATTCAACAATGACTAAAGACCTTCATACAAGGAGCATTCTTCCGGGTGCTAAGAGAGCAGCACTTTCTGCCCTCATTCTGTTTACATTCTAAAGAGGGGATGCAATCGATAGACAATGCATAACAATAAACACAATATGGAACACCATTTCAGGCAGTGGTGTGTTAGTAGGGAGTGGGTATTTTAGATTGGTGGGAGGGAGGGGGTGTCAGGTAAGGCCTGAGGAGGTGGTGTCTGAGTAAACGCCTGAACTGAGTGATGCAAACAGCCTAAGCAAAGGGGAAGCAAGGGCAGAGGCCTCAAGAAAGGAGGAAGGAGCCTGCTGTGTTTCAGGGAAGGCAAGAGGGGAGTGTGGCGGGCACAGAAAAGCTAGGGGTGTACACTGGCAGGAGATCAGATTGGCAAAGTTGTGCTTGGGCATGTGAGAGTCTTCTAGACACGGTAGAGAGCCTGGCTTTTATTCTAAATCTGATAGGAATCATTGGAGTAAACGTTAGGCACGCTTGCTGAATAAACACTGACTTGTGAGAAACAGACTTGGAAGCATTATGACCCATCAGGAGGCTACAGCAGTCTCTCTAGGGCAAAAGAAGAAAGTAGCATGGGGTAGGGTGGAAGGGGAAGGGGTGAGAGGAGGCCTTGAGGGTAAACGTGCAAGCAGGGAGAGAGGACTTGTTGATTGTGGGTGTGCGGGGGAAAGAGGCAGCAAACGTTTAGAACCAAGAGAGCGTTTTTTTTAAGTCAGTTGACTAAATAAATGCCCTATCCCATTACAAAAATTTATTTTTTTGGTGACTGCACGTGCAAAACCTCCGTATTGGAGGAGAGGGGGGTCACGTTAGCAACTGGTGAGAAGCTTATTGCAATTACGGGCGCACCCAGGAGAGCGACAGGTGCATCGCAGGCCAGGGAGGGAGGAGGGCGGGGAGCACCCAGCACCTCCGCTTTGGACGGAGGCGTTTGAAAGAAGTCGCAGTCTCCAAGGAGCCAGGTCCCCGCAGGCCGGGAGAGGGGAGAAGAGAGGAAGATACCGGCCGTGCATTAAGAGTAAGGTGACCAGACGTCCCGCTTTGGGCGGGACAGTCCCGATTTCTAACAATTTGTCCCCCGTCCCGCGGCTTTTTAAAAAAGTCCCGACTTTTTTTTTAAAACGCCGCCAGACAAATTGTTAAAAATTGGGACTGTCCCGCCCAAAGCGGGACGCCTGGTCACCTTAATTAAGAGACTCTCTCCCCGGATCAGACAGACAACCCAAAGCTGGTCCCAAGCTGCGAAGAGCAAGCAGCGGCGCAGGAAAAGGCTGGGGTTTCGGGGAAGCCGCCCTCGGCCGGCGGCGCCGTTACCTACATGAAGCCGGCGCCCCCGGTCACCAGCACCCGCTTCGCGAAGCTGCCGGGAGGGCCCGCGGGATCCACCCAGCCCGCAGCCGACATCTCCCGGGCCAGCAGCGCCCGGCGCCGTAAAGTGCCAGGTCTCCAGCCCGGAGGGAAGTTCCATCGCGACCTTTTACGACGCGCCTCGTTTCTCTTCCTCCTCCCTCCTCCCCCCCCCCCCCCATCACCCTTGGTTACTGGGGAGACTTCCGGAACAGAGCTGAGTCCCCGCCCACCGGTGGGCGAGGGCGGAGCCGTCGGGTGCGCAAGCTCCGCCTCGCCACTGCGCAGGCGGGCGCAGCTGGTCTGTGCAGCCGTCTGGGTTGCTAGCATGTAAGGGTCGGGTGTCTGGGAAGGTGGAGTCTTTTTTTTTTCCACTCTTTTTTTTTAAATTTTATTGATTAACGTATCACATAATTGTCCTCATCCCCCCATTCCCATCCCAAACCCCTCCCCACATATGCCCTACCCCCCTATTGTCCATGGCCACTGGGCTAGGCCCATATGCATGCACACAAGTCCTTTGGTTGATCTCTTCCCCTTACCCCCAGCCTCCCCTACTTTCCCTCTGAGGTTTGAGAGTCTGACCACTGCTTCTCTTTCTCTGGGTCTGTTTTGGTTCACCAGTTTATGTTGTTCATTATTTCCTCTAGATGTGTGAGTTCATGTGATCTAAGAAATACCCTTGTAAGAACCTAAACTGCGACAAGCCATGATGGTTATGCTGAGAGGCAAATGAATCAGTCTGTAGTGAGTTCCTTTCTGGACCAACAGTTCTTTTGAGTCCCAATTTCAATGTCAAACAGTTCCTTACATGTACCTGTCAGCCATGATATAATATTTCAGATCTGGAAGGTGGACAAATGGTGATGAAGCAGGTCCAACCTCAGGTTAGGCTCTGTCAGTACATTTTTAAACAATGTATTGACAGAGCCTAACCAGAGTCTGGTTTGGTCCTGGGTATCCTTCAGCAACACGCAGCTGCTGTCTGCTGGTATGGCAAGGCATCGTCAGCGTCGTCCATCTCTGAACTGTTTCTCTTCTGTCTCCATGGCTGGAGCACTTCTGTCTATTCCTCTCTATTATCGGAGTCTAGATGGTCACAGTTGTTTTCTGAAGTCTTGAAGGTTTCCGGGGAGTGTCTCCAGCATGCATTAGGCTTTACCTAGATACACAGGTGGTCGGAGATATGAATGATTACCTTCTTTTCATTCTTGTGCAACAGCCATCTCCACAGATTAACGCAGCAGCTGAGTTGTGAACTCCCGGGCAGTTATCTTACAAAGTATAGAGAATGAGAGGTTGAAATAGCAAAACGACCTTTTGCTATTGTTGTTAATATTATTATTATTATAGACAGCGCAAGCTGCTTGCAATCAGGGTAAAGATGTTCCCTAGATCCTACCCTACCATCTTTTCCTACTCCGCCCAAGCCTCTATCCTTGCTTTTCCTTGAATTCGCCTGGCATACTATGTCCCATAGACCTGGGTGCCATTTCCCCAGATGTGTCTGCCTAGGATTGACCAGCCCAGACGGACCAATTGACTCTTTATTTTTTTACATAGCAGTTATTAACATTTATGTTGAATTGGTCATTGTCCCTGCTCCATGAGAATGAAGCTTTGTTTCCTGATGCAATGCCAAAGCCCTGGGACAGAACAACTCAGTAAATATTGTTAAATAGGTGAATAAAAATCTATGTTTTTTTAGTTTGTTTTTTTATTTTTTAAAATATATTTTATTGATTTTGTACAGAGAGGAAGGGAGAGAGATAGTTAGAAACATCGATGAGAGTCATCAATCAGCTGCCTCTTGCACACCCCCTACTGGAGATATGCCTGCAACCAAGGTACATGTCTTTGACCGGAATCGAACCCGAGACCCTTCAATCCCCAAGCCGACGCTCTATCCATTGAGCCAAACCGGTCTCAGCTGGTTTGTTTTTTTAAACAATGTATTGACAGAGCCTAAAAAAGAATGGGAATACCCAGTATATAGAGGTATCATTTGTTACTACAACATTTTGGTGGGAAAATTCAAATGTACATATCCTATAGTCCCCAAATTATATGATGTATAATACAGGTAACTGCAGGAAAACAAGTATGTTCATTGCTATATTGCTCTTAGTAATGAAAAACTAGACACAATGTAAATGTCTACTAATACTGTTGCACTTTTAAAATCCAACGGGCTGATATACAGTCTTTTAAAATAATATACCAACTTGAAATGAGGACCAAATTCATTGTGGATACTTATGGTTTTAGGCTCCCCTACCCTATATCATGGCCCCAATTTGACTCCCTCCTTACAGGCCCCAGAAAAGGCATCTGACTCACCCTAAGCCCATTGAAGCCTCTTCCTGGGATCTGTAATTGACTAAGGTTCTTGGATAGTCTGGTTAAACTCTAAGGATTTACAAATTTTGGACTTGCTCTAGCCATATTTGTTCAAATGAACTGAGAAATCAAAAAGCCTGTCTTTAGTGAGAAGGAAAAACAAAGTTGATAACAAAGAGAAGAAAGACAAGAGACAGAAAAAGAGGTCTCACAGCATTCAAGATCGATATTCTGGTTTTACTTTCGGGACCAGTTTGATTCATCTTCTTGATTTGCAAATACTACATATATTTACAAATGTATGTCTGAAAGGATCCACCTTAAACTATTAATACGGATTATCTTTGGATATTAGGTATAGTCAAGGAAAGGAGAAAATGAGGGCTTACATTTTTATTTCATATAATTTTGACTATCTTTTTATAAGCTGCATGGGTGTCTTTCAAATAAAATACAATGCAATTTTTTAAAATTTCATATACCTCCAGTTTATTCCTGGTTTGCCAGATATACCAGAAAATGCTGGTGATATAAGTGTTCCCTCAAGGTTTCTTTTCCAAAAATTGAGGTCTATTGTGAGAACTTGCTTATATGTAATAAAGTTGGTTGTCAAGTGAAAATAATTTATACATTTATTCATTAAATAATTTTACTATAAACATTTATGCCTTATGGTAAGTGCCTGGGCAGGGAAGTAGGGGATTCCTGTTCTAGGGGCACCTAACACAAAGCTGACATTGTTAGAAAGGCTTCAAAAAGAGCCTTGGGGAAGAAGAGTAAAGTAGAAAAAGGAAGGGGATGTGGAAGTTGAATAATAATCCAGCCAGAAGGATCAGCAAATGCTCTCGGCCCAGAAGTGAGAACTTAAGAGTATTCAGTGAACTGACCATGGCTTGTTAAGGATGGAGATAAAAGAGACCAGAGATAGACATTTAAGAGACTCAAAAACCATATTCTAAAGAGTGGGTTGTGTACCAAGAGCAATTGAGAACTGTAGAACTGTAGAAGGAAAGTAATTGCATTTCAGAAAACTCCCTGTGGTTCTAGAGATGGGCTGTGTGTAGCCACTTGGAGAAAATTAAGACTGGTGCAGCAGGTCAGTTGCTATAGGCCAAGTAAAAAGATATTAGGACGGCCTGGAGAGGAGAGGGACTGCTGCTTCCTACCATCACCACCGGGAAGACTCACTAGTAAACATCTGTTGAATTGAGTTGACTGGATGTAGGCCTGTAAGGGGTGGAAGGTCGATGTAATTTCCAGCTGTTTGGCCTGCTGGATGATAATGTAATTCAGGAAGACAGAAAACTTTGGAGGAAAAAACAAAGTCGACTGGACTGTAAAGTTAAGTATCTTTGAGACATCCAAGTGGAAACGTCCCAATAGGCTGCACTAGCACTCAGGGCTTTGTGGGAGTTTCCCTCTCTTCCCCAGAAACGGTGCTGCCTGGGTTTGCGGTCCCCCAGGCTTCTGCAAAAACTTCCAGCCCCAGCCCGCAGCCTCGACGCATGCGCAGTGGACAACCGGGGCAATCATTTTTCCGTAACCTGAAGCGACATCCTCCTCACGCTCCATAGAAAAAGGCGGGAACTAGCCCACAGGCTGGGAAGTGATGGGGTGCCCTCCTCCGCACGTCCCGCCCACCTCAGCCTCTGATTGGTGGATGTCCCCGGCTCGTGGCGGAGGCGCCCTCCTCATTGGCTGTCAGTCTCCTGGGCTGGTCGGCGGCGCCTGACCGGCTCTCTATCCTCCCCCTTCCCCCGCTGCCGACGTGGGACCGGGAGCCACGGTGGTTAGCGGCCGCGGGTGGGTGGGCGCCGGGCAGCGGGCCGGGATGCGGGCGCTGCGGCTGCTGGCAGTGGCCCTCGCCTGCTGCTGCTGGTGGCCGCCCGGCAGCCAGGGCAAGACGCTGCGGGGCAGCTTCAGCAGCGCCGCGGCCCGAGACGCTCAGGGCCAGAGCATCGGCCACTTCGAGTTCCACGGTAGGTGCGGGGGCGGGGAGCGGGATGGAGGCGGCGGGCGGACGGACGTCCCCGGGCCGCGCCCCCGGCTGGCGCGGGCATCCATCCCGGCCCCAGGGGGCCAAACCGGGAACTTCCCCCAGCTCTCACCTGCCCTCGCAGCGTCGCCCCCAGCCCTCCTCCTCCGATCGCAGCTCAGCGGCCTCGGGGGAGGCGTCTATTGCAGCCTCTGCTATGACTGCTCCCTACGCCCCCGTGAGCATTCTCTCCCCGCTCGGTGATTGCATTCTGCGCCTAAAAGATCTTTTCTCCGACCCTCCCACTCAAACGTAGTAGAGATGACACGCCTGCTGCATTTTTGCCCCCCGAGATCCTTCCCTTCAAGAAGCATCCGTTGCTCACTTCTGGCTCAACCTGATGATAGACAACGAAGGCAATGTAATTGCGTGTGAGTGTAAGCCCCAGAACGTAGATGTCTTGGGTTTGTTATTAAGATCAATTCGATAAAAAACAAAAACAAAAACTACTTACCGTAAAGAGGCTTTGGAAACCAAATAAAACACCTGGTTATCTAGTTGTCACTTTTGCTAGAACAGTTTAGTTACTATGCTGCTAAAGGAGTAGGTTAGTTATGAATCACTAGGCCTAGAATTACGTTGACAGAAATGCACGTGAGTGTGTCTCTGGGAGCTTCATAATTTGTATCCTCTGTGGCCCTTCGGAAATCGGAACTGCATTCAGTCCTTATCTAATGGTCTCCTTCAAAAAGCAGTGAGTCAACAATGAATGAATTTACAGTTTATCCTAATTTTTACCATATTCATTTGTACCTTCAGGATTTTTCTTGGTGCACACTCTTAGTACTCTTAATTTGACTACTACTATGTTTTAAATAATTATTTGCCTTGATGGGGCTAGGATCCGTGGTTTACATCTCTTTAGAATTAAAAGTAGTATTATCCTAGAGATTATTCTCAAGGGAAGATAATAGAAACGAGAAGCTATTTTGTGTAGGAGAGCAATTTAAAGTTTTGGAAAGTTACAAGGTTAAAGGGAGGAAAAAAAATTTTTTTAACCCAAAGTTTTCAAAATAGCTGATAAAAGGAAATGCAACCCAGTTTTCCAAAATCCAATGTGGAATAGATCTTGGGTGAATAAAATAGAAACTCTAGAAACAGAGTTTTATTTTATTTATTTATTTTTGTTGTTAATCCTCACCTGAGGATATTTTCCCATTGATTTTTAGGGAAAGTGGAAGAGAGGGATAAAACAGAAAAACATCGATGTGAGAGAAGCACATTGATTGGTTGCCTCCTGCATGGGCCCTGACCAGGGCCCCTGCAGGGGAGGAGCCTGCAACCAAGGTATGTGCCCTTGACCAGAATCAAACCCAGGACTCTCCTCCACAGGCTGACACTCTATCCACTGAGCCAAACTTCCTAGTTTGGCTCAGTGGATAGAGTGCTAGTTTGGCTCAGTGAGTTGTCCTACTTTTGTACAAGACCAAACTAGTTGATAAGGCCAGAATTTTACTTTTTAGATAACATTTTAAGTTTCTTAATCAACTTTGAGTTTGACAATGATAGCAATATCACTACAATAATCACACAATCTGGGCAGTGCTGGAAGGTGTAGAATGTATGGAAGCTGTAACATGGATTATTACCTATGTCTAGAAACAAGACAGTCATGATGATTACCTGGTAAACAGGAGAAACATATATAGTAAGTCCAGATTTCTCAAGAAAGCTTGCAGAATAGAATGGTCTAAGTATTTTAACACTCTCCCTCTCTCCCCCTGCCTCTCTTTGTGTGTGTGTGTGTGTGTGTGTGTGTGTGTGTGTGTGTGTGTGTAATTGCAGTTTTCATTTAATGGCAGTTTAATAAAAGAATACCACAACTATACTGAAATAATAAACTCTGATTCAGAATGCAATTTAAAGTGTTAATAGGACCTTAAAGTCATTCGTAACTTTTTATAATTTGTAATGTAACCAATTTATATAGACTTACACATTCTTTGATACATACTATATATTGAAATTTACTTAAAATGTTTAATCAAAATAATAATTATAACAAAAGGAAAAACAATAAGATAATTTTAAAATGAAAAATCAGTTTCCTGCTTTACTTCTCGCCTAGAGTCCATTTCCATAGGAACATCTATTTTTTTTTTACATTTATTTTTGGGCCTTAAATGTAGCTGTTGTGTGACACCAGACTCATTCTATAGTATTCTGAAAGTTCTATTATAAAAGAACATATTACATATGTTCTGAAAGTTCTATTATAAAAGTCTTATGTCAAACTTTGTCAGGTATAAAATGTCTATCCCAAAACTCATTTATTTAATGTCTTGCTATTAGCTATGCTCACTTTTTTTACATTAAAAGTATAATTCAATTGCCTGTCCAGCACAGACAACTCTGTGGTGAACATTGACCAGGAGGTCAGGGTTCGATTCCCCGCCAGGGCACATGCCCAGGTTGATGGTGTGATCCCAAATAGGGGTGTGCAGGAGGCTGCCGATCAGTGATTCTCATCATTGATGTTTCTATATCTCTTCCTCACTGGGGAAAAAAAAATTTTTTTAAGTGTAATTCAATATTACACAGCCATGTTATATTGAAAAACAAAAGAAACTTAGGAAATTTCTGTAGATAATTTATGAACAAATGTTAAAGACATGGAGTGGTTGTAAAATGAGACACAAACTATTACAGTGAAGATTCACATACAGCAAATGTTGTTTATTCAATGAAATGTCATCAGTTAGCTGAAGTATAAGGAAAGGCCACACATTGGTTTGGATAATGAATGTGCATAATCTCTCGACTTGCGTCTGAATGGGATATTCATTCTAATGTTACCTACCTAGTTAAGTGAGATTTAAGAAAAATTGTGTTCTTTAAATTCCCACTTTGATAAGTAGAAGTGAGTTGTCCTACTTTTGTACAAGACCAAACTAGTTGATAACTTTTGTTTCAATGTCCAGGTGATCATGCTCTTCTGTGTGTCAGAGTCAGCAATATAGCAGAAGCTGTTGGAAAAGAAGCTAAACTCCACCTGTTCCAAGCCCAGGAATGGCTAAAGCTGCAGGAAAACAGTGATGGTTATAGTTGTAGTGAAAAATTATCCAAAGCTCAGTTGACAAGTGAGTATATCCTTTTTTATTTGATTATTGGGTATGTTGTTTTCCTCCTTAATGTTAAATGTTGTGTTTGCATACCAGGATGTTTCATGACACAGTACACATTACACTGTGGTGATAGATACTTCAGTAAGTTTCAAACTAAAGTTTAAGGAAACTGAGTTTTTCCTTGATTAAAAGATAGAATGCCTTCCCCCCCCCCCCCCTTTATCATTCAACATTTTTGAAAATATATCCAAAAACTTATATGGACATATTTTTTCCTTCATTCAGACTTCTTTTTTTTTTTTTTTTTTTCTTTTTTTAATATATTGATACTTTAGAGAGAGGAGGAAGGGAGAGAGATAGCTAGAAATGTCGATGAGAGAGAAACATCGACCAGCTGCCTCTTGCACACCCCTTAACGGGGATGTGCCCGCAACCAACGTACATGCCCTTGACCGGAATCGAACCTGGGACCTTTCAGTCTGCAGACCGACGCTCTACCACTGAGCCAAACCGATTTCGGCCATTCAGACTTCTTACAGGTCACATTATTCATACTAATGTTGCAGATATATTTTCTTTTTTTAATCATTTTTTAATTATTGTTTGAAGGATTACAAATAGTAGTACATATGTCTCCTTTTTTTCTCCCTTGACCTCCCCCCAGCCGCCCCTACCCCCCCACCGCATATGCCTTCACCTATCTTCCCCCCCCCGCCCCGTGTCTTATATCCATTGGTTATGTTTATATGCATGCATACAAGTCCTTCGGTTGATTTCTAGCCGCCCCCCCCAACCTCCCTTGCCTTCCCGCTATAGTTTGATAGTCTGTTCAATGGTTCTTTATAACTATTTTTTCTTCATTTCTCTTCTTTGAAAAATCTTGTAACTGCTGACTAGAAAAAAACATATAATAACAAAAACGTTTGAGTCCCAATTTTAGTGTCCAACAGTTCTGAGACCCAGTTTCATTGTCAAATAGTTCCTTATGTATAAGTGTCAGCAATGACATATGGATGATGGACAGATGTTGACACTGCAGGTCCAACCCTCCCTGGTTTGGTCCTGGGCAACCTGCAGCAACACACAGCTGCTGACTTGCTAGCATGGCCAGGCGTTGCTAGTGTCTTCCATCTCTGGGCTGTTTCTCCTCTTGTCTTCTTGGTTGGAGCAGACCTGACAACTCTTCTCTGTTGCAGGAATCCCGCTGGTCTTGGAGTAGTTTTCTGGAAATATACAAGCATATTCTCGACCAAAAGTTAATAAAGGAATCTTTTCTATAAAATTGACTTGGGATCCTTTTTATTTTTGCCCAAACGATTTTCCTTTGGCTTATTTTGACACCATGTGTGATTTTCATGGGTGTCTTGCTGTTAGCATTACAAATGAAAATTAATTTTCTACAGTAAAAATTTTCTAGATGTAATTTACAGGATATTTTTCCTTACATGATATTATCCTACTCTTCCCCTCCCCCCCTTTTTTTAATAGATGTTTTTGTAAATTTTGTAATGCAGTCTTGATAACTTTAAATTTTAAGTTTTTGCACAAAAATAAGACTGCTTTATATTCATTTCATGTTAAGCAATTTTACCGTAAGATGTACTACCAATAGAAATTTTAGTTAATACTTTAGGAATAACTTTCTGTCCAGTACACTTAAATTTTCTTGGATGTTCACTTATTTCAATTTAAATTAACATGAAAACTTGATTTCTATTTTACTGTCAAATTTAATACTCTAACAGCAATCTTAGTTTACCCTGTAAGTATTAGTGGAAAGGATTATTTTCATTCTTGAGTAGGCCCTGAATATTCCTGGTGCTATGCCGGATTTAGATATAGGGCAGCTGCTGTTGGCAAGCCTCCGTCTGTTACCTGGGTCTCTATCTGAGCTGTACCAAGTCTCTGTCTGTTACCTGGGTCTCGATCTGAGTTGAGCATGGGAAACAAAGCAGCCATGGAAGCAGGAGACCCCTCCGAAGGGGTGAGAGTTCAGGTCCCTGCAAAACTGGTGGGGGAGGGGGGGTGTGAGAGTTTGTGCCCCACCTCTGTTGATCTCCACGTTCTCTCCTGATGGCCCCTCTGCGACTGTGCCTGTCTTAGGTTGTTCCTTCCCTGAGGAATCTTACTTGTCTCTGGCTAACCAGTCAACCTCTGGGCCAAGCAGGGTGATTTGAGATTCAGTTCTGTTTCCTTGGTAGCTTACGCCCCCATGGCCTCCTCGCCTAGCTCCTGTCTTGGGATCCCCTCGCCTGTTGGCGGGCCCTAACACTGATCACATATAATATCTCGGAGGACTCAGGTTTCTTCTCCTGGGAGGGCCAGGTCACGCCATTGGGCGACAGACAGATCCATGGTATCAACCACCACAAGGTTTCAACGTCAGCATGAATAGAAAGCTCGTGCAACAATTGTGAACAGTTGGATTGTAAAAGGAGGGTCCCTCTTAGCCAAAAGGGCAAGAGGGGATAATATAGAATGCTCTAGTGCCTTCCCAGTGCCTTAATTCCTTCTGAAAGGGATTAAATCCTTTCATGTCCTTTTTAAAATTGCTGCCAAACATTCAGAGAATTAGTTTGTAAGTTTTTTTTTTTTTTTTTGGGGGGGGGGGGGTAGGAAATAATAACTTGGCCAACAGCTGTTGTGAAATATAAAAAATTATAATGACATTGTAGGATAATATCATGTAAAGATATTCTTTGCTCTGGGCCCTGGCAATTTAATTTCAAATTGGCTATCAGTTTCTTTTTATAACTTTATATAAACTGCAGATATATTTTCATCCAGTAGCAGCACAGAGTGAATTATAACATTTGTTGAATACTTATTATATGCCAGCACTGAGCTAAGCACTAAACAGGTATTATCTCAGTTAATTGTATTAATTTGGCCCAAGTGATGTTGTTTTGCAACATGTTATTGGGGAACATAGGACCTTGTCATGTGGTGACACAGTATGTCATTTTAGGATGTACCAGCACCACACCATTTGTAAACCTTTAGGTTTGCCTCTAGAAAGGGATTGCTTTTATTCTAGTTATCTGTATCCTTGAGCTCTTTCATTCTCATCAACACTATCTCATGCATTAGGGTGTTAGCCATCCAGAGTGCGTACAAACTTTTTAATTTAGAAATGACAAACATGTCTCATTCTACCCATTTCATTAGGAATATGAAGCATCCATGAGAAAAAATGGAAATTATCTCTCTTCCCTTTTCTCCCCTATGTTTTCTCTATTCTGTTTTCCATGTTGATGGATCTCTGAATCTTCTTTTATTCTAGTTAAGTAAAAACACTGCCATTTCTAAACACCCAGTCTTCCTAGCCTTAGCAGCTCTCCGGTTCCCTTACAAGGCAGTGAGCCAGAATAGGGATAAGAGTAGAAGTCTCTAGTCCTTGACACTCATTGTGGGATCTTTTATTTAGATTTGTCAGATGACATTGACAGTATGCTGAAGAAGTCTGAATGACTTAAGGAGAGATAGTTATATAAAGTTAGGTACCTCAACCTTGAATTTTAGGACTTACCTGAGAAATTCATGCAAATGCTCATTATCAGTAGTCTTTTTTTTTTTTTTTTTTAATATTTATATATACCAGTTTGCTCCACATTTGTATAAATAGTCCTTGCCCATCCAAACCGGTTCCTCTTCCAATATTCCCAGTTGTAGGAACTGGCACCACCATCCATCTCAGACACAAGCTGGAAACCAAGGAGTTTTCCAATACTCCCTTCTCCGAATATCTCTTGAATTTATCTAATTTCCTTCATCTCCACCTCTACCATATTATTCCAGATTGTCATAATCTCTTGCTTATACTGTTGCAGTAGCCTCCTGCCTGGTCACTGCAGCCATGCTGATCCTTCTCTGTCTGGCCATTGCTTACCGGCCCCTCCCCACCAGCTTCCTTTCACAGTAATGCCTCCTCCTGCCTCATTTTATTTGTAGTGCTTGTTTAATTTTAGTGTTATTCTGGACTTTTGTACAAGCTCTCCTCTTATTATTCCCTCCCTTCTTTGGCTCCTCCCTTTTCTAAGTTAACACTTGAGGTTTTTTTGTGTGTTTTTTAAAAAATATATTTTATTGATTTTTTACAGAAAGGAAGGGAGAAGGATAGAGAGCTAGAAATATCGATGAGAGAGAAACATCGACCAGCTGCCTCTTGCACACTCCCTACTGGGGATGTGCCCTCAACTAATGTACATGCCCTTACCCGGAATTGAACCTGGGACCTTTCAGTTCGCAGACAGACACTCTATCCACTGAGCCAAACTGGTTTCGGCAACACTTGAGTTTTTATACCCTCTTGTTTTCCCTATGGCACTTAATATAGTTACCACCTTTCATTTTATTTATTTGTTATAAAAGCTATAACAAATAAGAGTACCTGTGCTCTTTTGGTCTATTCATTCATTCACTGAGCACTTCTATTGTATTATGCTAGGCACTAGTGATAAATCATGGATCAAAATACTGACACACTTGAGTCCATAAGGCTAAGGGGTGACAGGAAAGAATCTCATCACTGTAAATGTTATATTGCAACTGTGATAAGTATTATAAATGTTAGTTATGTGGTTAACTATGAGAATGAGAATTCAGGATTAATAAGTGTTTAGTAAATATTTGTAGGGTGAATTATCATACAGCTTAGTGCTTGAGGGTTTTTTTGGTTGGCAGGTGGTTTACTTTGTATTGGATACCTCAAAGTCTTTTTCTTTCTCCAATAAAAATTTACTAGGTAGTTTAAAGTTTTGAGCTGTAGGAAGGAGTTGTTTCTTTATATCATTTGGCCAGAATTATACTAAATACTATATATACTTCTAAAAGCATAATTTTTATATCAGTCATAATATGCCTTCAGTTATAGAACTTAGGTATACAGGAAGACAGCGTGGTACAATGGAAAGATTGCTAAACTGAGAATCACTGCTAGTGACTTGCACTTTTACTTTAAGCCACACTTATCTGTTCGACAAGGAAGCTGGACTAATTTTTTCTAAGGTTTCTGA